TTGGAACTATTCAGCTATGAAGACATAGTTAAATTTAACTAATTGGAACCCAGAGCCTACTCTGAAAGGTACAAGAGTGGATAAAAAGTTGAACAAGTCATTTTCTCAGTCAGCAAAGCACCTACTGTCCAGGAAAAAAAAAAAAGACAAATACAGAAAGTGACAGAACAAGACACACTGTACCAATACGGTGTTGTATGGATGTAAAGGAAAAAGGTAGCCGTTACATAAGGTACTTTCAAGATGAGTAGAATTTCTGTCTGCAGATAGGGAGGATGCAGGGTGAGAATATTCACAGTGTGTGAGAACAGCAAGGAGTTGGTTTTCCTTCAGAAAGAAATATGAAGGGACTAGTAGAGAACAATGCTGAAAAAGTAGGTTTGAATGAATGCCAACAAAGGACTTTCACTGATTTATCTGTTCAGCTCTTGGGATTTTCTGGCATCTGATCCTAGAGGTTGTAAGGGTCCCCAAAGCCCTGTACATACAGGAGGACCTAAACGCCTGACCACAGCTTATTGATCTAGGAGTTAGCACATGAGCCAAGCAAGACCAGGCAACATTTCTACCCTAAAGATTCAGAATTGGGACTGGGAAAACAAGAGAGCTTGAATTTGTGACATGGAAGTTCAGAGCTTCCAACATGAGAATCAGAAAAGCTGAAGAAGCTAGTCAGTAGGAAGAGAACAATAGAAAATTGTAACAAAGAGTTGGATATAATACCTCTGAGATTTAGGAAGAGTCCTAACAATAATCTAAGGGTCCTCAAACTGTGACCTGAATGTCAAATGCACGTGGCTGCCTGTTTTGTAAATAAAGTTTTACTGAAACACATTCCTCTTGATATTGTCTATGGTAGGCTGACAGAGGTCCTATGGCCCACAAAGCCTAATACATTTACATCTGGACTTTACAGAAAAAGTTTGCCAATCTCTGATCCTTTTAAAACTGTTCCTATATCTCTGCTCTTGAGGGCTGTGTAATATCTCTGTATCTATAAGTTCCTCATGTTGCTTAACTGACATGAAATGGATTTTGTTTCATGGAACCAAAAGTGCCCTGAGAAGTTCATAAGCATTGTGTGTACAAATGCATTCTGAGGAATAGAAGGATATACTCAGAACTATACTTCAAGAAGAATCCTCTATTTTTTCTACCCTGAATGAAAAGGTTCACCTTTAGACCTTATACGCAGGAGAAAATGTGTTAGCAATCCAGGAAAACAGCAAAGCCAGTATAGAGTTGAGACCCAGAGTTAGCAAAGTGGAAGAGTAACTGAGAGCAAAATGCAATCTGAGATATAAGGTAGAGGTCCCAGATCAGCACCAGGTTATCAGACCACAGGGAGTATTAGATGCCAATCTGACAAATAAGGTCTAGAGATAAAATGGGTAGCCGAAACTGAAAGATAAGACTCAGAAAATTGAGCAGGTCATTAGGCTTGAAGGAAGTGGCTCCTGTGTTGCCTAGGACTTTATCCCGTTTACAAGTCCTGATGGACCATATAGCTAGAATGTTTCAAAGTAGGGGTTCTTGACCATTTTTTGTGTGTGGGAGTAAGAGGAGTGCCAAGGACCCTTTGTAGTCTGATGAAATCTATGGCGCATTCTCAAAAAAAAGTTCTAAATATGTAAAATTTGATATAAGATTACAAAGGAAACTATATTGCAAAACAATTATCAAAATATTAAAATTCTGTTATATTAATAAGTATGCTTCTTTATTAATATATTAAATATCAGGATCCAGTGCTGGATCAAATGGCCATCGTGATTTTGAAGTAGTAATGGGAAAAGATAAAATTTTGAGATACTTGCAATAATTGGAAAATATGAAAATGCCTGTGATTTTTATCGGTGACAAAGTCAGTGTTGCTGCTATTACAGTGGCTTATTAACTACATTCATAATTGAAGGAACTGGTAAATTTCTGTTAGAGTTTAGTGAAAAGATAAAGATGTGATTTTTTTCTCCTTCAAGTCCATGAACCCCCAAAATTCTATCAAGTCCCTTTAGGCTGGGGGTGAGGGGAGATCCAAGAAGCCCAGGTTAAGAAATCATGATGTCTGAATGTATCTAAATCTACAGAAGCCTATTATTTTGCCTAAGAAGAAGATACAGAAAGAGACAAGAAGGAGCCATGAAGAGTCCCTTGGAGATCTCCTACATTTAAAAATTGGAAGAGCCGGGCACGGTGGCTCACGCCTGTAATCCCAGCACTTTGGGAGGCCGAGGAGGGTGGATCACGAGGTCAAGAGATCGAGACCATCCTGGTCAACATGGTGAAACCCCGTCTCTACTAAAAATACAAAAAATTAGCTGAGCATGGTGGCGTGTGCCTATAATCCCAGCTACTCAGGAGGGTGAGGCAGGA